GAAGGATGATAAATCACATAAGGATAAACACATCATCTCCACGTGTGTGTGTGTGTGTGTGTGTGTGGCAACAGGATATGATTTACAATAGAAAGCTTAAATCATCATGATTGTTAGAAGAACGAAATTGCAACTCATGTAAAAATTAGGCTAACCATGAATCAACTGAGTCACAATGTGTGTATGTAAGTTCTCAGGCATAAAGAATGCAATTGCTTAAGAGATCATGAGTGATAACACCCCCTGATAGAAAAATAGCTTTCGTGCCAAACACTCAAATATCATGGAAGTATAGATGTATCTTTTCTCAATTATGGTTACTATATTACACCCTGTGCTCAGATACTCTGATACTTCAGGAACTTATTCTACACCCTTTCTTTGTGCTGTCTCATTCATTCCTGCTGCCCTCTAAAGTCTCAACACCCAGCACTCTCCCGTGAACCCAACATCTCTACCTGTGCTTCTCATACGTATATCAAATCAACATGTCCAAAGTTTATGTCATTGTTTTCCATCCCAAAACTGGTCCTCCTCATCAGTATCCAGCCAGTTATCTAAGCAAGAAAAAGGAGTCATCCTTTTCTCCAAAAACTTTTCTGGACGGTTCTGTACTTACAATGGGTTATCTAGTTCTGTAACTCCTAAAATCTTTATAAATATGTCCCTTCCTTTCTTACTTTCACTGTGATTGCTTTTGCTCAAGTTCTTACCTTCATTTGCCTGGACTACTGTCCAGAAGAAAAGCTTGATAGGCTGGCTTCCCGTCTTTTATTATTCTAAATCTTTTTTACATATTGTTCTTAGTTACAATGTATTTCTTAACAACAAAAAGCAAAATGATCCCACACACCAAAACAAAACAAACCCAACATGACCAGGCCACTCCCACAATTGCTATTTTTCAAAGCCTGTCTGTTGCCTGTAAGACAAAGTTTGGATTCTTTAGCAAGTCATATTGTGACTTTCTGGTCTTGTGTTCTCCCCCTACACCCTGTGATCTAGCTATACCGAGTCTCTTGCCATTCCCCAAACCCATCATGTCTTTCATCCTCTGACTCGCAGTGTTTTCCTCTGCCTGGAATGCCCTTCATAACTAGTTGGCTGAGAATTCCTCATCCTCAATTTCTTCATCTGTACGACAGGGTGATAATAGTGCTTACTTCAGAGGGTTGTCATGAGGACTAAATAAAAAAGTCGATCCTCTCCGTTAGTGTCTGGCATACAGCAGCACTCAGCAAATGTTAGCGATCACTGTCATTGCTGTCGTTGTCATTATCTCTGTTTTTTTTCTAAACCTGAACAAAACCATCTCCTTTCCTGAAAGTCTTCCCTGACTTTCTTGGATGTGTTAGGCCTTCCTCCGCTCTAATCCTATATGCTTAATTACAGTACCACATTACATTAACTTCAAAATTGATGGAATTTTCATATTTTAGCATCTCTGATATCAGGATACATCTTATTATCTATACCACATCATGGTTTAATTGCCAGTATGTTTGATTTCTTAGTAGTAATCATGTTCTTGTAATAATGATGTTTCTTACAATGAATGGCATATTAGATGATATACTATACTTAAACTGTATGATAATTGCCATAAAAATTTGATTATCCAGGGCAGATAATGCATATTTACAGTGGATAGAAAATTCTACATTTTCTGTGAATCAGTGAAATGTCTACATAAAAAAAGCGACTACTATTTTTTGGGTTGTCAGAAAAGTCATGACACATTTTTGCAATGAAAAACATAGAAAAAATACATCATGACTTTTCCGACAATCCAATAGAACTCCATGGTAGCCAAGAGATATCCCATTTGTACATCCTGCAACTTGGCAAAGCCCCAGCCCCTGAACCACAGAGGGGTAGCCTGATGAAGTAGCATGCTGACATCTTCGGTTAAGCACCCTAACCTGAGAGCCAAACAATGGCTGGACCCAGAGCAAAAGTGGGGAGGGGCTAGCTTATGAAACAGCATTCTAATAACCCAGGATCCACACTGGAAAAGGTAGAGCAAAAGAGTGAAGGAAAAAAAAAAAGCGAAGAGCAAAAAAGTGATGAGATGACAAAGGTCAAGGGACCATGTCTCGAGATTAGCACTGTCCAACAGAAATACAATGTGAGTCACATATATAATTTAAAAGTTTCTAGAGGCCAGGCTTCAAAAACTGAAAAAAAGCAGGGAGATGAATACTATATTTTATTTAACCCAATAGATCTAAAGGATCATTTTATCATGTGACCAACATTAAAAATCAGAAGTGAAATGTGTTATGTGTTTTTTTGCACTAAGTCTTCCAAATCGGCTGTGAGTTTTACCCTTACACACATCTCCAATTGGATCAGCCACATTTCAATTGCTCAACAGCTGCAGGTGGCTGGTGCCTGCCATACATATTGGATGGCACAAGTCTAGGTTGAGTTTTGACCGACTTAGTTAAGTGGTGAGATACCAGTAAGGTTGTTTCAATAGTGGCTCCTTTCATCATACAATATAGGTAGATTTAGGATTCCTGGAGTATTATGTTTTATTTATATAGTTTTGAATTCTTTATAAGATGATAATATTCCTTTGAAATTATTTTTTGTGCTTTGCTTTGGCTGATTTTGCTTTAACCATGATTTGAGGTTATTCCTAATGCCCTTCTCATATTCCCTTCACTATGTTGGTTAAAGGAGTGCTGACTCCTTTATTCAATGAATCTTTTCCTAACAAGCTAGTCCTTGGGAGAGGGACAAGAACTATATGATTCATTTCAGTATGCCCAGATTTTGTCACAGTGCCTAAGATATAGCAGGCTCTGAATACACATCTTTGGAGACATATGAAAAGGTGAACTAAACAAGACCATAAGGGTTTTCAATCTGGGCTGCACAATGGAATCACCTGGGGAGTAAAAAAAAAAAAAATGCTGATTCCTGGTCCCACCCACTCCCAGAGATGCTGCTGGTAGGTCTAGAGTTTTGTCCGGGTCTCAAAATTTAAAAAAATCTCCCCCAGGCGATTCTAGTGAGCAGCCAGTGTTGAGAACCGCTACTCTTGGGCTTTCTTACAATATCTTTCTGTGGCCTTGCCTCCCTGATAGAAGGTCCATTTTGCCTCAATTCCCTCTCCCAGAGCAGACCAGCTATTTTTTGAGAAACCTAGTACAGAACAAACTAACACAAAACCCCAAAGGAATTTGCATATTTCTTTCCCAAAGCACCAAACTAACACAAAACCCCAAAGAAATTTGCATATTTCTTTCCCAGAGCACCAAAGAAGAGATGCAAGGTTCTAATTTTCCAACAAAAAAGAACAAAATTTCACGATTTAGGTTTTAAGATGCTAGCTAGTTTAAGGAGAAAGGATTAAGGCTACCACAGCATGTAGGCATATAATACCCAGATATACATACTGTATGTAGCATTTTCCAGAGATAAAATAATAGCAGTTAAAAATCAAAAGTGGAATCTAAGTATATATGAACCTCATTTCAAGGTAATTCCATACATGTCAAAACCAGAAATTATTAATTGGGGGTCAGCAAAGAGAAACATTTCATGTTTTTCTTCAGGCCCTTGAGGTTCTATTTACATGGCATAATCATAAAGCAACGCATCCACTTTGATAAGTCACATATAAAAGCCACCTAACAGCGTTGGCATCACTATTTGCTCTGATGGCATTACTTCCATTGTGTATAAGGCTCAGCAGTGGCCAAGAAAGAACTCTGATTTCTACTTCCACAGACCAGCCCTCACCAAGGAGGAGGGGAAGGGAGCTCTGCACTGAGGCAGCTCTGGAGTGGAGTTCCTCTGGCTCATGGCCTGAGAACGTCCCTGCCAACTCCCAAGGTGCTCTGGCCATACTGTATGGATTCACTTTGCTTAATGGCCTTTTCCTGTCGGTGCGATATCACATGGCCTTATTAATAAATCGAAACAGCATGTTAATATAGACCCAAAGTTTCCTATGTGCGTTTCCTCTGGCTTTCTAGCAAACACAAAAGCTCCCTCTGACTGCCCTACACTTAGTTTTTTTCCTTATTGAGATATAATTGGCATAGAACATTATATTCGTTTCAGGTGTACAACACAATGATTCGATACATGTACATACTGTGAAATGATCATCATAATAAGTCTAGTTAACATCCATCACCACGCAGTTACAACTTTTTTCTTTCTGATGAGAGCTGTTAAGATCTATTCTCGTAGCAACTTTCAAGTATACAATACAATATGGTCAGCTAAGTCACCATGCTGTACATTATGTCCCTAGGACTTACTTATCTTATAACTGGAAGTTGTGGCCCACACTTATTTTTGTTTCTTAAGCTGAATTTGAGAAATTAGAATAGGAAATATCCAAAAGGCATTACATTTCCACGTTTGCTAACAGTGATCAACAAAAGTTCCCTACTCCTGCCAAAATCATGGTGGAAGAAACGTAACTTGGTATGCTTTCTAAACAAGTCCTGCGTCTTGTGCATATCACTTCCATCTAACCCCAAAGGGCTGATGGGTGCCAAGTGGCTGGTCCCAGTTTTCCTTTCTGAAAAGCGATGGAAAATACAACACATGTTTCCAAGTCGCTACACTCATAAAACCAGGAAGATAATCACCACCCACCTGTCCAGTCTGACCTCAAATCTGAAATGCATGACTGCATACACTCTGCATGTATGTCATTTATCAGTTAACATGTACTAAAGATCCTCTTGGTTCCATGGAGAGACAAAGGAAAAGTCTTCCCTCCAAATTTTATAAAAACAAGAGTAATGTTACAAATTTTAAAATATTAAAACAGATTTGAAAGGTGATAAAAATGTTATATAGGACGGCTCCATCTACATGAGCATGTAACCGCCATAGGCAGGTGAACTAATGGAATCATTGGAGCTGCCGGTGGCCAGACAGGTTGCACGGAACAGTGGGCCTCAGAGAAACATGGTGGAATGAAGGATCTTTTGGAGTATTGTGTATATGCAGCTGACACAGCTTCCTACCTTTCTGGAAGAACTCTTCTAGCTTGTCCTTAAAAGGCTGGAGATACTGCTTTGGTGACTCCTTGCACACCACCGCCATCTGTTTCTCACTTGCTGTGAAGAGAAGTTTGGAATTAGACTTCCCAAGAACACGTATTTGCTGAGCCTATGCCCTGAGCTATGCATGTGGGTATTGATGGTGCAAGATCCTTATCAGTCACTGTTTAGCCAAATCCAAAGGGGAAAAGCAAAACCAGAAACAACATAAATAAAACTAATTAGCTCACACCTTTCTTCAGGAACAGGAATATGTGTCACCTCCAACTTTCTTTTCAGAGGTGCAGCAAAACCTTTGACTTGGGATAGGTGAAGTGCTCTGCTTTCAGTCTCTCAAAAACACCGTGAGGCAGAACTACTGAAGGACTAGTCCCAGAGAAGTAAGGGCCCCCACTCTTGTCAGATCATACCCCAAAAGTAGAGTGTGAAACAGATTTTGCAGAAATTCCCAGGCATTCAGGTTGCCCGGAACCACCAAATTGACAATTCCTCAGGGTGACACCCATGTCCCAGAGTGAGAACTAAGCCCAGTGTCTCTCTGCATGCTTCCCATGCACCCACCCATCCCATGTAATACTTCACTAACACACGCGAAGTCATTTCACATGTGACTTACACTTCAGGCAGAATATCTGGAATTTACAATAGATTGCTTTTCTGATAATCAAGCCCCCTTAAATTAGAGAGCTCTGACTTGGCGATATGGAAACTACAACAATCCACAGTTCACCATTACAAAAGGCAGTTGGCTCAGGCACGAGGCACGTCCCCAAGGTTTCTATACATTTGTGCCAGTGGCAAAAATGCACTGGGGAAAGAAAGGCTTCATTTATCCAAAGCTAGAGCTGAGTCACGACCGCTTTGGTCTAGTGAGCGTGGCCAGAAATTGCTTACATGTTCTTGTCCAAGAGAGCATTGGATTTTCACCATAAAGAAGTCATGTCACCTGGTTTAAAAAATAGAGAAACATGTATTCCATATCTTGGAGGAATTTACTGAAGCCCAAATGTAAGGTACCAGAGGAATTTGGAAGGAGAGGGTTAGAAAGGAGGCCTTTATTTATGTTGGGAAACTCGTATCCAATAATTTGGTGTTTTCAAAACCAGCACCCCAGAATGTTTACTATGTAAGCAAAGCATCAAAACTTGTCAACACTGAAGCACAGAAAATGAAAAAGGGGCCACTCAAGTGTCCCCTGAAACTAGTTACCTGATACTTCTCTCTTGCAATATTGCCACCTCGACTGCTGAAATCCTAGACAACTTTGGGGGGTTATAGGATTGTGTTGAAGATGAAAGTTTGATGTGAGGGAACTCTGTCATTTTCTGAGTCAAGTTTGGAATCAGCTATATTCTCAGAGATACGTCCCCGGGGATCATGAGGCAGATCACAAGAGAAGCCTAAATTCAAGCTCTGTCATCGTTACTGACGTTGTTACTTTCTAAAAGTTTTTAATAAAATTTATTTTAAACATCTGCGACTAGCTATTCTGATAACCATTCTTATGCTGTCTATGAAACCCTGTCCATTGAGATGCAAAGACTCATTTCTTTTCCTTAATCATCTATCTTACTGAAGAAATACAAATCCTACCTGTACAAATGGGAAACAAATTTTTTAAACCCAGCCAAACCATCACTTCAAAACATTCCTTTTTTCCCACATGTTTACCTCTCTTTGTCAGCTTATATGTCTTCTCTATAGTAACTAGTTAACTTCTCTACTATTATCTGATTTCCCTTTACCCCCTTCCCAGTAGATGGGCCTGTGGCCAAAAGGTAAGTACCTCCTTCCCGCCACTGTTCTGGTCTCAAAACAGTAGTGCTTTGGGCTGGAGGGCTATCAGAGCGAGGAGGAGACGGACAGAGTAGGTGGAGCTGGAGTCTAATTTGCAGGTACAAACAGGTCTCGGTGATGGGAGCTGGTATGGGGCTGAGGGAGGGGGAAAGGTGGGCAGCGCATGGCTGGAAGTGCCACATCCTGAGCTGAGTAACCATGGAAAGTATTACCGTTTTCTTCTGGGGGTTTTTTGTTATGCTTTAAGGGAGGGGAGATCAAGAGTTAACTTTGAGTCCTCTTAAGTTTTCTCTGATCTCTTTGAATTCACTGAAAAAAAAGGGGGAAAAGTACAAAACAAGATAAAAGTATTATGGATTCTCATGCTAATTCAATTAAATTCAAACTCCCGGGCCTGGGATTTAAGGCCTTTTCCTTTTGGTACCATTCTACCTTTCAGTTCTATTTCCCATATACATTTTACCAAACGAACAAAAATTATGCAAAATTTCCAAAATACATCCACCAGTGGTCCTAGTTCCATGTAGTCATTCTGCTCTCATCCCATACATACTTCCCACTGCATCTGACAAAGCCCTGTCCTCCCTAAAAACGTTTCTCTGAGACACTGCCCCACCAACACAGCTTTTTCCAGTCTTACGTTTTTTAGTATCTTTCCAACATCTACCTTCTGCGGAGCATTTATGTTTTACCTTTAATTGTATTTTTTTATGTACTGATATTAATCCCTGCAAAATCATCTTTTAGGTTTCATATACTCATCCCCAAACTTCTCCAGAGAGCTCCATGTGCATCTGGCCAAAGCATCAGAGTTCCTCACCTTCACTAGATTCTTATGTGGAGGAAAGTTGAAGAAAATTAGCAATGGTGACCCAGACTCAGAGTGGGCTTTCCAAAGGTACAGTGTGACCTCCTCATCTCTCTCCTTGCATTCCAGGAGAGGTATACCACAGGGTCTCAGGGCCTTGACTCTGCAAACACTGTGAGTGTCCCAAGCTGATCTGAAAGGCCTCAGTGTATTTTAAAGACCCACCAAAACATCCGCCACTTCATGCCATCAGGCACAAGCAGGACAGCAAAGAGCCCTCTCTTGATGGGGTAGTTCTGAGAAACAGAAGACTGGCCGGTAGGACTCAGCATTTTTCAATAAGCCTTCACGGCCATGTAAACTTTTCTGATGCTATCCATCTGCGATTCTGAGAACACAGGTAGCCATATTTAAAGGAAAACGAGAATTTCTCACACTATAAACTGAGAGAATCTTTTAAATCCTTTAACTTGCACTCTACTACAGTCAAATGCCAATGACTCTATGTAAAGAGAACTATTTTTCATGAACACAAATAATACAGGGTGAGGCACTGTGGTAATAGGGCATAACTGCAGCCACAACAGTGATTTCTTCAGGGTTACTTATCCCCAGCCCAAGCAATGCCTAAAGTAAAGCTTCTTTTCCTCATTATAAAATCAAAACCTCCACTTTTGCCTGAATTAAAAGGATTAATGATTGTGGCTCTCCCTTTGTCCCCGCTGTGGTGACAGAGTGCTCCATCAAAGTGCTCAGATACTGTTAGGCTATACAGTGGTGTGGTAAAGGGCTTGTGCTTGGATCAACACCTACCTCTACCTGGCCTCAGGTGGGCTGTCTTCCCTCATCTGCAAGATGGGGACTGCTCCCTCCCCCATAGGCATGATACAAGAATTCAGTGAGATAACACAGGTAAAGTGGTTTGTGGAATGACTGACATTAGCAAGCAGCCTCATATGATCTGTCATTTTTATGATTTAGTAAAATTGATCAGAACACACGTCACAGAACAGCAAGAGAGTCATGGCTGGGGATCAGTCACTACAAATGCTGTGTACCTTATTTACGGAAATAGACCCCGGTGCAAATCTCTGGTTTGGAACTTAGGGATAATGATTGTCGTCCCCTCACTGAAGTTCCACAACCCATTGTGAGAACCCCCTGAGGAAACTCCTGGGCAGGATGGAGCAAAACGTAAAACAAGTACCCTAGGCCTCTGAGCCTCAGGATTCTGAAATTAGACGCTGAACCCAGCACACATGAGAGCAGCTGGCCGGCTGTGCTGAGGCCCTCTCTGCACCCCAATGGGCCCAGCCATCCACGTGGCCTATTAGAATTAAATCTCTCCACAGGGTTAAAGCCAGGGCTGCACTCTGACCGCCTCAGCACAGTCGTGCTCCAACTTCTTAACTTGGTTTATCCGAGATGCTTTCCAGCAGACAAATGGGAGATCTGAAGACTAATTAATGATGACACCGGAGACTAGCAGTGCATAAAGGAGAGAGGTCACTGACAAATCCACAAATGTTGTTTATTGTCCACCCACAAGACATGTATACAATATTGCTAGACCACCAAGGTTGCCTCAGACACAGGCTGTGCCAGGAGTTCCAATGTTAAAAGCCAAAGTCATGGCAGGCTCTCTTTCTTTTTGTTTCTATTGCATTTTTGACAGAATTAAAAAATATATCAATTCCTGAAGTTAGCTACTAAGTGATTATTTTGAGAGACAGAAAGATTAAATATTGAAAACCAATACATAATGAAATAATAGACACTAAAATTGAGAGTATTCTCATTTAAAGGTTAAGTGCTTGTGAAGCATTTCACTGAAAGGAAAGATATGGCCTTGTTGTATGTTTTAAGATCTCAGATATTAGACAGTTAAGGTCATAGGTGGTTATCTGTTATTTTGCTTTTGACCCCCAAGAATAAGGAATAAAATTTATTGAGCCACTTAAAAATCATGGGTAGGTTAGAAGGATACAGAGGCAAGACCCCAGTAGAATTAATCAAAATCTAATATATGTTTAATTGTCTTAAAAGATCAAATGTACATGGGTACTTTTTAAGAAAATATGGAATATGTCGCTCCCTCTGAGTTGAAAGCTCTGCGTATGGGCTTAGTACGTCAGAATATATTTTTAGAGGAAAGGAAACATTTATCTAGACTCTTTTTTAAATCTGGAATTCTCTCTTCTCTGCTTACCTAATTCCTGCCCTACCCCCTGCATGGTTCTATGCCAGTCCTACCTCTCCTTCAGTTTTACCATGTCCCTGTCCTTTCCACGAGTTCCATGCTCAAAAGGATCATCATAGAGGATTGTTGCAGCAACATATAGAACTATTTCACTAAAGTAAATATTATATCAATGGGGTTTATTTAAATGAGAGATACAAACCAGAGTCACAGAATGCTGGGTTAAGGGGTTTATCCTAAAGCAATTCATTC